GACATACTTTCAATTTGGCGCCCCCCTCGGGAGAAAATTTTCGATTTGCACACCCCCCCCCCCGAACTTTTCATTTGCACCCCCCCTCAAACTTTCGATTTGCACCCCCCCCCCCTCGAACTTTTCATTTGCACCCCCCCCTCAAATTTTCGATTTGCACCCCCCTCGAACTTTTCATTTGCACCCCCCCCCCCTCAAACTTTCAATTTGGCGCCCCCCCTAAGGTCGGCGCCGGGGGACATATGTCCCCCCCCGCCCCCCCCCCCCCCTCGCTACGCCTCTGCTCTAATCTCAACATAACTATAACCGTCAAACATTGCTTTGTCCCTAACTCTAATCCCAACGTAACTATAACCCAAGTTCATCTAATCATAACATTTAAGTCATAAAATAAAATTGTATCCTTATAACACAAACATATGGGTACGGCTAAATGATACAACTCGTATTTCAAAGATTGATATTTTAAACGCACCCTTATTTACATCACACTTTTTTCATTTTATTTTTTATTTATTTTATGTTTTACTTTTAATTTTTTTTAATTTTTTTTTTGTTAAGTATGATTTCTGTTAGAAGGCTTCAGTCGATAACCAGAAATTTATCTTCCTTTAAGTCTGGACTTTCTGAAGTCTACATCCATGTAAAAATTACTTTTGGGTTATGAAGACGTGAACTTAAAAGTCGGGTTATAAAGGTGACTCAACTTCCAAGCTTTCCTTTTTTTCTCTTTACACTAAGGGTTTTTTCAAACCATATTAAATGTCAATTATTTTTGACCAGACGAGGTCGATATTGGAGGTTTGTACAAAAATTGGTATTTGTATGTAATATTTGGTTTTTGTGTTCGAGATTTTTTTTTACAAGACTTGAGTTTTTGTGTACAAGAACTGGGTATTTATGTACAATATTTGAGTTTTTGTGTACGAGAACTTGGAAATCATGTAAACGTTTTGAGCTTTTGTGTAGGAGCACTGTCTACTTGTACAAAATTTGAGAATTTGTGCACGAATATTGGATATTCGTGTACGAGATTTGAGTTTTTGTGTACGACAACAGTGTATTTTGTATACAAGATTATTGTTTTGTCGTGTATTTTATTTAATCTATTACGAAGGGCATTTACAGACCGATAAAAGTTGCAGCGCTGTATAATTTTATGTCTTGACGTGTGTACATCAGTAGGAAGGTAGCAACAACATAATGCTGTAAGACAATAAATCACTTTTTTAATTTAAGCATAAGAGATTGTGACATATATAGATTTACGAGAAATCAGGGGGGGGGGCTGTTTTAATGCATTTCGGTTATCTTAAAATCAGCTTCATGTGGGAAAACAGGGAGTGTTGCGTAACAAAAATTTTGATGTAATAACAGGTGCAGTTTCGACCTAAGGTCTTCTGTGGCACAAAACATTGCCTTTGACCGCTTGGCTTGAAATACACGCCTAAATTGTGGACTTGTGTCTCTACTAAATTAACATAAATTACATAACCTAATTACTTTTTTTCTAAATAAATCTGAGAAAATGGATTGCTTTAATTTAGTTTCTTTCTTTTTTTCTAGTTCTGCTTGCAGTATTTCAAAATTACTATTTGAAAACATTTATAACAACTGGATCCTTTTAATGTAATGAATTTTTAACTCCTTTGTACCAATTAGGAGTTAACATAGTTTTTTAATTATAATTGCGTCACAGAAAATAAACTCAACATAGCTGTGCAGACGAGATATGTTAAACGGTGTTTTTTCGGTTCCTTTTCATCGAAGGCTATTGGGCAATAGAAATGTTTTATTCAGAGTCGTTCACTAGAAAAAAAATACAAAAATAGGTAGGCCTACCTATATTTAGATGTGTTTGGCATTAAACGTTTTACTTCACGCGACCTTAACCTATTAGGGCTGGCGTTTTAATGACGTGGTTACTTGAGATAAACCATCAGGTTTATTTGTGTTCGTTCTCTTGTGTAACATGATATTTTTTTGAGTTCTCAAAGAACAATAACCTCGGAAAAAACTGTCCAAGTCGGCTAATTACCGGCCTTGGTTGATATTTACGGCCCGGGCGCTTGAGTTGGAGTGACCGCCCACTCTCGACACCGTCTGCTTCTTTAGGAACTTGTTTTCTCTAATCAATTGGTGCTCTTTTTTTACTGACATAACGACAATTTTCACATTTTTACATAGGAAATGTAAAAAAAAAAATTGAGTCCGTTTTCAAAAAGTGTATTTATGTAACAAATCTTTTTTTTAAAAATGGTATGAAAACAATATTGTTTCATTACTTTCTGTGTTAATTTAACACGTATATTTTTTATCAAAACTTTTTTTTCGTGTCCAGCAACGTAGTATTGTGCTTTTATTAGCTCAATTTTTGACCCCTCACCCCACCCCAGCTTCCAACCAAACCACCCATTGAATAGTCTAAACTCTAACCATAACCTGAGGAGCACACGGGTACAGCAGTGTTAATATAGCAATTTATTTCTTTATGAGGGGTCGGCGTGGTCGAGTCGGCAAAGCTCATGGTCGCTAAACCGAAAAGTCTAGAGTTCGAACCCTCGGGCAGATGTGGCTCGTTAGCTGGGGACAGCCACACTTCTAGGAGAGAAAACTCTAAAATTAAACAACTGCTGCCTTGTAGTTTGTTCTTGGTTGGACAAAGGCTATGGAAGCTAATCCAAAAAGAAAAGCATGCTGAAATCGGAGTCAATGGCCTCAATGGCGCATAACCAGTTGACACGTAACGCTTAATTGTGTTGGAGGCGTGGTCGAGTCGGCAAAAAGTTCATGGTTGATAAATTTGAACAAAAGTCTCGAGTTCAAACCCACTGGCAGATAAATCTCGATCCCCTTCAACACTAATAATTAAGAACGAAGAAGAAGAAGAAGAATTTCTTTATGTAAACCAGTACACTGTAGTGATAATATAGCAATTTATGTGTTCGTGTAAACCAGCACAAAGTAGTGATAATATAGCAATATATTTTTTCATGTAAACCAGTACAAAGTAGTGATAATATAGCAATATATTTTTTCATGTAAACCAGTACAAAGTAGTGATAATATAGCAATATATTTTTTCATGTAAACCAGTACAAAGTAGTGATAATATAGCAATATATTTGTTCAAGTAAACCATCTCAGTTATAAATCTCTATGATGTAATTTTTTTTAAAATCCCATATCATTATAGCGTCATCAGACAAATTGTCATTTATTTTTTGTTTCAGATACAGATGTGTGGCGGTGTTAAATTCTAGACATCACCCAGCGGAAGAGGGGACGCAAAGAAAAAAACATAAACGATCTTAACGACGAAAAGAAAAAAAACATAAACGATCTTAACGACGAAAAGAAAAAAAACATAAACGATCTTAACGACGAAAAGAAAAAAAACATAAACGATCTTAACGACGAAAAGAAAAAAAATGATGGATAAATTTTAGTTAACGAATGTGATTGCCAGTTTCTGTGATAGAGCGTTCGATAGTTAAACAGCTGAGTGTACAGAAGACGCGCTTCGGGGATTTGAGTTTACAGAGGTCGCTGTTCTAGTACTTGAGTTTACAGAGGTCGCTGTTCTAGTACTCGAGTTTACAGAGGTCGCTGTTCTAGTACTCGAGTTTACAGAGGTCGCTGTTCTAGTACTCGAGTTTACAGAGGTCGCTGTTCTAGTACTCGACAGAAGTCGCTGTTCTAGTACTCGAGTTTACAGAGGTCGCTGTTCTAGTACTCGAATTTACAGAGGTCGCTGTTCAAGTACTCGAGTTTACAGAGGTCGCTGTTCTAGTACTCGACAGAAGTCGCTGTTCTAGTACTCGAGTTTACAGAGGTCGCTGTTCTAGTACTCGAGTTTACAGAGGTCGCTGTTCTAGTACTCGAGTTTACAGAGGTCGCTGCTCTAGTACTCGACAGAAGTTGCTGTTCTGGTACTCGGGTTTACAGAGGTCGCTGTTCTAGTACTCGACAGAAGTCGCTGTTCTAGTACTCGAGTTTACAGAGGTCGCTGTTCTAGTACTCGAGTTTACAGAGGTCGCTGTTCCAGTACTCGAGTTTACAGAGGTCGCTGTTCTAGTACTCGAGTTTACAGAGGTCGCTGTTCTAGTACTCGACAGAAGTCGCTGTTCTAGTACTCGAGTTTACAGAGGTCGCTGTTCTAGTACTCGAGTTTACAGAGGTCGCTGTTCCAGTACTCGAGTTTACAGAGGTCGCTGTTCTAGTACTCGAGTTTACAGAGGTCGCTGTTCTAGTACTCGACAGAAGTCGCTGTTCTAGTACTCGAGTTTACAGAGGTCGCTGTTCTAGAACTCGAGTTTACAGAGGTCGCTGTTCTAGTACTCGAGTTTACAGAGGTCGCTGTTCTAGTACTCGAGTTTACAGAGGTCGCTGCTCTAGTACTCGACAGAAGTTGCTGTTCTGGTACTCGGGTTTACAGAGGTCGCTGGTCTGGTATTAAAGTTTACAGAGGTCCATTTATTGTGCATATCCTATGATTTGTCCATTTATCGTGGACATTTTGTGAATAGCCTATCTAGCCTCGACAACTACCATCTTTAAGTGTGTTTTCACTGGATTTCATTTCGCATCCCAAACTGTTTGTTTTTAATCAAGGTTTGTTAGGAAAAGTGTTGGATGATTATCTAATACTGTTGGTCATGTGCATCAAACACTTATTTATCAATATTTTGCATTTAAAATATTTAATTTAAATATAAAATATTGTTGGTGTGTCAAGGACGTAATTAAGATGTAAAAATATTCAACATAATTTGACTAGTTCTAACAAATCGTCAAATATGAAATACTGTTGTATAAATTAATAAGCTGTTCTTTATCTTAACATTTGTTTTGCTTACACCTTCAAAGAATGGATTCGAGTAAAGCCGAAACAGATTTTTCACAAATCAGAGTTGTCTACCTTTCAAAGGTTAAAGAGGCAGCTACGAAGGGGCGATAATCAATTCTCAGCTAATTTGAAAGAGTTATCAAACTTCGCCATGAGCAACGGGATGAGTGACCGGAACTTGACCAGCAACATGGAGAAGTTTCGGTTGGTGTATATGTTCTTGTCGGAGTTGTCGCCCCAGGATTTAGAGAAAGAGGATATCAATGCTCGGTTGGAGGAGTTGTACAACATCACACTCTCCCCTAAAGAGGTGAGAATTTGGTCATTTACATCGTAATCTTTGTTGTTGGTCATTACATAGTTTTCTTCTTTGGGTTATAGGGGTAGTTAGTTGGTCGTTTACATTGTTATCGTTGTTGTTGGTATTTACATCACCTTCTTCCTTTTTCAGTGTTTCTTCCAGACTTTTTTCTCCGGGGGGGGGGGGGGGGGCGGGGCACTAAAAATTTCCCGGGGGGGTGGGGGGGCGGACACTGTTAAAAGTATATATTTTCTATATAAATTATATAAATTTCATTTTACTCGGGAGGGGGGATACCTGGAAGAAACTCTGTCCTTTTTACTTTCGTATATAGAAAGTATTGTAATCGTGCAAAAAAAAAATCGAGATTTTTACAAATCTCGACGTTTTACACCTCACTGATACGATTACAAGACTTTCTCTATACTTCGTATATGCGAGAAAGTAAAAAAAAACCCACAGATGAACTTTATTTTCTTTACCCTTTAGTCTTCGAAAGTGTGGGATTGTAATTTATAGGGGTTGGGGGAGGAAACTGGTTAAAGTATATATATTTTGTATACGAAATCTGTTTCGTTCAGTTTAGGGGACGTAGATGTGCCAGAAAAAAAAAATTTTCTACGCCATTACCAATTTGCCCAAACTTGTTCTATTATCATTTTGTTCAGCTGTACAGCATTGAGAAATGATATGTGCCGGCCCCTCACACATTGCCTACGCATCTCACTACAATTAACATGTTCTGTTCCCACCTTGATCAGTTGTCCAGCATAGAGAAACTCTACATGCCTCCACCCCCACCCACCCACCCCCCCCCCCCAACATTGCCGCCGCCTCTCACTCCAATTAACATTGTTTTCATCTCTTGTCCAGCTGTCCAGCATAGAGAAACTCTACATGCCTCCACCCCCACCCCCACCCCCCACCCTCCACCCCCCACCCCCCACCACCCCCACATTGCCGCCGCCTCTCACTCCAATTAACATTGTTTTCATCTCTTGTCCAGCTGTCCAGCATAGAGAAACTCTACATGCCTCCACCCCCCACCCCCCCACATTGCCGCCGCCTCTCACTCCAATTAACATTGTTTTCATCTGTTGTCCAGTTGTCCAGCATAGAGAAACTCTACATGCCCCCACCCCCCCCCCCCCCCCCACCCCCCCCCCCCCCCACCCACCCCCCCCCCCCCCCACCCACCCCCCCCCCCCCACATTGCCGCCGCCTCTCACTCCAATTAACATTGTTTTCATCTCTTGTCCAGCTGTCCAGCATAGAGAAACTCTACATGCCTCCACCCCCAACCCACCCCCCCATCCACCCCCCCCCCCCCCCACATTGCCGCCGCCTCTCACTCCAATTAACATTGTTTTCATCTCTTGTCCAGCTGTCCAGCATAGAGAAACGTTACATGCCTCCACCCCCCACCCCCCACCCCCACCCCCCCCCCCCCCCACATTGCCGCCGCCTCTCACTCCAATTAACATTGTTTTCATCTCTTGTCCAGCTGTCCAGCATAGAGAAACTCTACATGCCTCCACCCCCACCCACCCCCCCACCCCCCACATTGCCGTGCCGCCGCCTCTCACTCCAATTAACATTGTCTTCTCCTCTTGTCCAGCTGTCCAGCATAGAGAAACGTTACATGCCCGACCTCCTGGGACCCAAACACGAGTCACTGACGACCGGCGTCATCATCACCCTCATCTACGTCACCATCCTCATCACCGGCGTCGTGGGGAACTTCTGCACGTGCCTCGTTATTATTAGAAACAAGTAAGTATGTCAGGGAGGCGGGGCTAGTTTTACAGGTAATTATAAAAACACTGACAAGAGCTTTACTAATGAAACAAAGGCACACTGTCTCAAGAAAAACTGACAACATAGCAGTCCAAAGAAGCTGAATAAAACAACGTGGCCGATGAAGAAAGAACTTTTTTTTTTAAATTGGTTTGAACCTCGGTTAAGTAGACAAACAAGTAGACAAACAAAGTTAATAGAGAAACCAGAAAATATTCCAAAACAGGGAAGCGCGTTTTTCTGACGTACAACAGTTGTCGAAAGAGTCAAAACATCAGTTGCCGTTCTTGTCTTTTATGTATGTTCCTGCCGTCTAATGAATAAATCGTATTTCACAAAAAAAAAATAATAATAATAATTAAAGCTCCGAAGTTCAATCGTTTTGTAAATTACTTTTCTAAAAAAAATCCAATAAATGTGAAGTTCAATTTAACTTGTAATAAAAATAGCCGAAGCGTTTGATCTTATTTCCTTGATTTCAAATCATTCTTTCACATTACTGATTGCATAAATTTAACTCGGTTATGAAGAAAAATATATAAATTAAATTTCAAACCTCAAAAAATGTAATCAAATTTATTTTGTATCATAATTAAATGCATATTTTTCTAAGTAACCTTTACAGTCATTTAAGTTTTTAAGTTACAAGCTAAAATTTAATTTGTGTAAACTATTTTAGCCTAAAATCTCAACAATTGTTCTGGCCACCAGGTACATGCGCACAGTGACCAACTACTACCTGTTCAACCTGTCAGTGTCTGACCTGCTGCTCCTACTGCTGGGCCTACCCCAGGAGATCAACCACACCTGGTCCGCCTACCCTTTCCCCCTGGGGGAGACCTTTTGCCGGTTCCGATACTGGGCATCGGAGGTGTCCAGCAACGTATCGATACTGACCATCACTGCCTTCACTGTAGAGCGATACATCGCCATTTGTCACCCCATCAAGTTCCCAACATATGTGAGTGGCTTGCCATGTTGGTATATACTTAGAATATAAACATTTTAATATATATATGGATGATTGGTCAATTTGATATATACTCAGAATATAGATATTTTAATATAGGTGGATGGCTACCGATTTTCGATATATCCTTAAAATATATACATTTTATCATACGTGGGTGACGTGCCATTTTGATATATATTCTTAGAATTTAAACATTTTAATATATGTGGGTGACTTGTAATTTAAAATATACTTAGAATTTAAGCATTTAAATGTTTTTAACGTTTTATTTTGGATTATCCTTAGAATATAAACATTTTAATATATATGACTGACGTACGTATCATTTTGATTTATCTTTAAAATCTAATCCGTATAATTATGCGAGCGACTTGTCAATTTGGTATATCCTTAGAATATAAACATTCTAATACATATGAGTGTATTGCCATTTCAGTATTCACTTGAAAAAAAAAGTGAGAATGCTTTGTTTGATTATTATAGAACCACCAACATAGCCTATACAATATCGTGTCTAATGTGTTAGTGTCAGCTTAATTGTCACGGTTGTGTAGATGCAGCGCTTGTCAAAAGGTTGGTGATTGAAGCTCGATTTGAGCTAATGTTAAGATTTAGGCTACTTTCAAAAATCCTAACATCATTAGAGTTTAATCTTTGAATCCAAAGAACCTTCGTTTAGATGTTTTTCCTTCTTTAACTGACGTGAAAATGTAGCTTTAACTCCTTATTTGTAAATTTATAACAGACCGTTCTTTTATATAAATTTTAAAGTTGAAAACAATAAAAGAATAATCAACGTGGGAAACAGGCCTGTTATTGAGATCAATTTATTGTTTAGGTCGTTCACCCTCCCACGCTAATTAAAGTTGATTTTAAAAACGTTGTGACAAGTGTCAGACACAACTGACACTAACGACCCCATGCGACATTACCGTGACAAACCTGTTACCTCATCAATCGATGAATTACCTCAAACTAATCAATCAAATGAATCAATACTTTATCTAATCACGGTGCTATTTCTGTGATAATAAATCCAACAAAATGCTATTCTTCACTTATTTTTATTTTATTTTTTGATAAAGAAGATTTATGGGCAACTAATTAATTATATAATGAAATATTACATTTCCTAATCATATTTGTTGTCACTAAAATGGATAGATGGATAGATGGATGGATGGATGGATGGATGGATGGATGGATGGATTGATGGATGGATGGATGGATGGATGGATGGATGGATGGATGGATGGATGGATGGATGGATGGATGGATGGATGGATGGATGGATGGATGGATGGATGGATGGATGGATGGATGGATGGATGGATGGATGGATGGATGGATGGATGGATGGATGGATGGATGGATGGATGGATGGATGGATGGATGGATGGATGGATGGATGGATGGATGGATGGATGGATGGATGGATGGATGGATGGATGGATGGATGGATGGATGGATGGATGGATGGATGGATGGATGGATGGATGGATGGATGGATGGATGGATGGATGGATGGATGGATGGATGGATGGATGGATGGATGGATGGATGGATGGATGGATGGATGGATGGATGGATGGATGGATGGATGGATGGATGGATGGATGGATGGATGGATGGATGGATGGATGGATGGATGGATGGATGGATGGATGGATGGATGGATGGATGGATGGATGGATGGATGGATGGATGGATGGATGGATGGATGGATGGATGGATGGATGGATGGATGGATGGATGGATGGATGGATGGATGGATGGATGGATGGATGGATGGATGGATGGATGGATGGATGGATGGATGGATGGATGGATGGATGGATGGATGGATGGATGGATGGATGGATGGATGGATGGATGGATGGATGGATGGATGGATGGATGGATGGATGGATGGATGGATGGATGGATGGATGGATGGATGGATGGATGGATGGATGGATGGATGGATGGATGGATGGATGGACGGATGGATGGACGGATGGTTGGACGAACGAACGGATAGACACACATAATGAAAGCATGGCACAACTCACCAGCCTCCAATGCTTCCCACAGCCCGGGCTCTCAAGGCCCCTGCGCGTCATGGCCGCCGTGTGGATTATATCAACCATCTGCGCCATCCCCATCGCCCTGCAGTTTGAGATCCACTACGTGCGGTGGCAGCGGAAGATTATTCCAGAGTCGGCCCGGTGCAGCATGCTGACGTCAGACGTCGCCATGACAGTTTTCCAGGTAACTTCCCGCCCTTTTAACTTCCCAGGTAACTTACCGCCCTTTTAACTTCCCAGGTAACTTACCGCCCTTTTAACTTCCCAGGTAACTTACCGCCCTTTTAACTTCCCGCCCTTTTAACTTCCCAGGTAACTTCCCGCCCTTTTAACTTCCCAGGTAACTTACCGCCCTTTTAACTTACCAGGTAACTTACCGCCCTTTTAACTTCCCAGGTAACTTACTGCCCTTTTAACTTTCCAGGTAACCTACCGCCCTTTTAACTTCCCAGGTAACTTCCCGCCCTCTTAACTTCCCAGGTAACTTACCGCCCTTTTAACTTACCAGGTAACTTACCGCCCTTTTAACTTCCCAGGTAACCTACCGCCCTTTTAACTTCCCGCCCTTTTAACTTCCCAGGTAACTTCCCGCCCTTTTAACTTCCCAGGTAACTTACCGCCCTTTTAACTTACCAGGTAACTTACCGCCCTTTTAACTTCCCAGGTAACTTACTGCCCTTTTAACTTTCCAGGTAACTTACCGCCCTTTTAACTTCCCAGGTAACTTACCGCCCTTTTAACTTCCCAGGTAACTTACCGCCCTTTCAACTTCCCAGGTAACTTACCGCCCTTTCAACTTCCCAGGTAACTTACCGCCCTTTCAACTTCCCAGGTAACTTACCGCCCTTTTAACTTCCCAGGTAACTTACCGCCCTTTTAACTTCCCAGGTAACTAACCGCCCTTTTAACTTCCCAGGTAACTTACCTCCCTTTTAACTTCCCAGGTAACTAACCGCCCTTTTAACTTCCCAGGTAACTTACCGCCCTTTCAACTTCCCATGTAACTTACCGCCCTTTTAACTTCCCATGTAACTTACCGCCCTTTCAACTTCCCAGGTAACTTACCGCCCTTCCCACATCCCACTTCAATCAACCATTTATTATTTTATTTCCTTTATATTTGGAGACAACAAATTACTTTCTATCAACGCTTTAGATGTTTATTATAAATAATTACTTCACATAGACTTTCTGCTATGGGTATTTCCGTTAAGTGAAGCCTATATTAAAATAGTGTCGACGACCAGGGTTAAGGTGACCCTCTTCGGTTATTGACTTGGGGATTTTATGTCTTTAGATGTTTATTATAAACGAGCCGACCCGCAGCGTATCATATGCCGCTATTTAGTTGTTTTTTTTCTACTTTTCAGTAATTTATAATTTGTGAATTCGACAATACCAATGCTGCCATTGAAAATATTTGCTTAAAAACACAACCCCCCCCCCCTCCCCCACGTGAAAGCAGCCTCCTCTTAGTTACCTCCTCTAAGTTTAAAATCGTTTCAAACTAAATTATCTGCCCCTAATAGACGTCACCAAACCCGTCTCTATGATTGTAAAATGTAAACAGAGTGAACACCGCTCACCAGATCATGTGGGGGTGGGGTGGGGGTGGTAGTGATAGTGATAGAGAGGAAGAGAGGGGACTGCAAAGGCGCGCTTGCAGCTTGTTTTCTAACTGATCCCAGAAGAGAATTATATATATAGATATTTTCTTCACATAGACCTTCTGCTGTGGTTATTTCCGTTAAGTGAAGCCTATATTTAAATCATGTCGACGACCAAGGTTAAGGTGACCCTCTTCGGTTATTGACTTGGAGATTTTATGTCTTTAGATGTTTATTATAAATATTTTCTTCACGTTGACCTTCTGCTGTGGTTATTTCCGTTAAGTGAAGCCTATATTAAAATCATGTCGACGACCAAGGTTAAGGTGACCCTCTTCGGTTATTGACTTGGAGATTTTATGTCTTTAGATGTTTATTATAAATATTTTCTTCACGTTGACCTTCTGCTGTGGTTATTTCCGTTAAGTGAAGCCTATATTAAAATCATGTTGACGACCAAGGTTAAGGTGACCCTCTTCGGTTATTGACTTGGAGATTTTATGTCTTTAGATGTTTATTATAAATATTTTCTTCACGTTGACCTTCTGCTGTGGTTATTTCCGTTAAGTGAAGCCTATATTAAAATCATGTTGACGACCAAGGTTAAGGTGACCCTCTTCGGTTATTGACTTGGGGATTTTATGTCTTTAGATGTTTATTATAAATATTTTCTTCACGTTGACCTTCTGCTGTGGTTATTTCCGTTAAGTGAAGCCTATATTAAATTCATGTTGACGACCAAGGTTAAGGTGACCCTCTTCGGTTATTGACTTGGGGATTTTATGTCTCTGGCCAACCTTAAAAAGAGATATTTCCTTCAAGACCGCTTTTAAATCCAGGAATATCTAAGACCCAGCACTTAGAGTGGTATACTTGAATAAAACTGAAATAACGGAGATATTCCTAGTCTATACTGCTGGTCTATTAAGTGGGTCTTTGATCTGTGACCTTTGACCTTTTTCACGGCTCTTCGGACTGATCTCCCCTCGATTGGTGTCGGGTCAATATTTCCGCTGAGGTCACCCCCAACACTTTGTCCACTTCCGGTCACCATCGCCCAGTGCAAAGTTTAGTGCCCTAAAGTAACGAAAATAACCCTCGTTAAAAGAAAATTACTCAAATTGAAGAGGTTTATTTTTAGTTGCGTGACCTTTTATTTTCCAACGGATTTTCCCCAAAAAAAAAATCTCAATTATTCACGCAGACGTATAATGTCCATTTTATTTTTTATTTTTGTATCTTCTTTTCCACACAACTGAAGAGGCCGATATTGTTTTTTATTTGTCTTTGATCTGTGTGTAGGCGTCATGAAATCTTTCCACTTGGATGTAAAGACGACGGCAAGCTCATTGCATGTCCTAGCTCGCCACATCCTCGGCTAAGCGGAAAGTTAGTTTATACGGGAAAATATGTTTGAACTGCCGTCTAGTTTAACCCGGATGGCCGTCTAGGTTAGGATACCCTCTGTCTAGGGTTGCCTTTAAGTTAGTCGTCTAAATTAGCCTTGTAAGTTGGCCGTCTAGTTTAGCCTTGTAAGTTGGCCGCCCAGTTTAGCACTTGTAAGCTGACCAACTAGTTTAGCGTTACAAGTTTGCCGTCTAGTTTAGCCTTGTAAGTTGGCCGTCTAGTTTATCCTCGTAAGTTGGCCGTCTAGTTTAGCCTTGTAAGTTGGCCGTCTAGTTTAACCTTGTAAGTTGGCCGTCTAGTTTAACTTTGTAAGTTGGCCGTCTAGTTTAGCCTAGTAAGTTGGCCGTCTAGTTTAGCGTTACAAGTTGGCCGTCTAGTTTAGCCTAGTAAGTTTGCCGTCTAGTTTAGCCTTATGAGTGGGCCGTTTAGCTTAGCCTTGTAAGCTGACCGTCTAGTTTAGCTAAGTTAGCCGTTTAAGCTAATCGTCTAGTTACTTTAACAGATATCGGTAATGGTATCTTTTATCGGTATCGCTCAGGGTTTTAGAGTTGGAATTATGGTTAGACTTCGGGTTACCTTTGCAGCGAGAGCTAGTAAGGGTTAGGGTTTGTGTCAGGATTAGGTTTAACATAACAATTTTTTTTTTAAAGTACGCCTAGTGTAGCCTCTAGCGAGACCTAGAACCAGTATATTTCTTTTAATACTTTAGAAATAACACCCTAAAATTTCAACTTTCTACACTTATGAGAAAACTAGGGTACTGCGCATTACTTCCTCTTTTCTTTTAATCTACACCAGGGGTCTCCAAACTACGGCCCGCGGGCCGGATGCGGCCCGCGACGTCCTCTCATCCGGCCCGCGGAGATCTTTTTGTCCACGGAAAAAACGTTAGTTGGTGCTGGCTGGGGAACTTTGCCCAGAAAAATCAAAGACGTGCCTGGAAGAAACTGGCCCCCGAACTAACTATTGTTTGTTAATGCGGCCCTCGGACTGAAAAGTTTGGAGACCCCTGATCTACACTAATGTCGGTCACATACAGCCCTTAGCTATGCGGCGGGTTTAACGTTTAGTTCACAGAGCAAAAAAAAAACATAAGCCGTTGCATTTTATGTTGGCTTTCTATAAATCACAAATTAAAATAACATCAGTTTTCAAGCATTACGTCTATGTTAGGAAAAGTTTTTTTTTCTTGTTCAAAAATAATTAAATTAGATGTTTCTGTGTTTATTTTTTCAGTGGACGTCTTTGCGATCGTGTACACACATACACACACACACACAAACACACGCACATACACAATTTTACTTTGCAACAGACGATGATTTTTTTTCTATTCCTGCACACACGACTTATATATTTTTAAACTTTAATATGTGGAGGGGGTATAATTGCCCCACCCCTCCCCCTAGACCCCCCCCCCCCCCCGTCAACCACAAACAACATCCCACCGCATATTTCCCTAAAGCTGATGCGTAGAAAGGTCGAGAACTTTCTCAACAATATTTCAGCACAGCTCGGGTCGTAGAACGAGGTTTTTGTAAGGCGCATAACGAGACGCCGGTCTACGGAATGAGATTCCGTAAACTGATTTGCATAAATAACTGACGAGGGTGTACTCCAAGATGGCGGCTGTACTGTAGAGTTGTGAGTTACGCTATAAGGACACCTGTTGTGGGCGGTTAATTATGGCAAAGGAAGAATTACTAATTAGTCAAGTGACTTGTGCCGTGCTTTCATTATATGTGTGTATCTGTCCGTCCGTACGTCCGTCCGTCCATTCCTCCATTCCTCCGTAGGTCCATCCATCCATCCATCCGTCCATCTGTCCATCCGTCTATCAGTCCATTCTCATATTACTAAGATAAAGGCATATAAATACAACATTTTGACAAGTTTTTAATTTGCTCGCAATATGTGTATGTTGGTACGTTTGTAGTCAAATCAGTTTGACTTACTTAAAACCCAGTGATTTCGTTCACAATTTTCGTATGAATTTGTTTCGGGTGACAATACAAGAATGTCTTATTTTCAAAAAATGTAAGAAAAAATTAAAAATATTAAAACCTTTATGATAACTATCCTCTCTCAATAAGTAAACTTTCATTCTTAAGAAAACGTTTTGATCGCTAATGAATCCTTTGGTACATTTTAGTGACCAGCATTTTTTAAT